GAGACTGTGGCCCCTAGCTGCCCTTCAGGTCTGGAATTGAACCCACACCTGTGGTTTCCAGCCAAACAAAAGACAGGCATATGAGTTGAACATTTACATCAGGTAGATACACTCATTGGAGAAAACAATCTGGAGAAAGAAGGGCTGCTTATGCACAGGAAAACAGCTCAGGGGGCAGGAGTACATGGAGGGATGGACACTGGGAAGAGTTAACTATGGAGAGGAAGTGGGAGGGGAGCTGTTACATTGTAGTAAACTGTGGTCAATGTCATGAGACAAAGTGTATGTGAACTGTTGTATGGAAAGTGAATTTGCTCTGTAAATCTTCACCCAAATCACAAAAAAAAAAGGGGGAAAAGAAAAAAAAAAAAAGCCTTAAAACTAGACAAGATAAGCAAGGGAGTTAAGCATAGAAAAGGCTAAGGACCAAGCCCTGGTGCACACCTGAGGCACTTCCCACAGCTCAGTCAAGTTTTTTCCTCTGGGTTACTATATCCCTGGGCACCTCCTACTAGGATTCCTGGTCTTAACACTAATGACCCTCTGGTTACTCTCAGTGCCATCTTTCTCTTCAGGCTTGGAGTTTCTAGTCAAATGGATTCACTTCTGGGTCTACAACATATCCTGTACTTAGGGAATGTTCTAGGCTAGGACAGTATGGCTTCATACCGTGTCAAATAAGTGTTTTACAATCTTTTACATATCACAGCACACATAGACAAATGGTAACATTCATGGCACACCCTGGAGCAAACAGCTAAGGTTACTTCTGGTTCCATGGCACCTTGAAGGGCTGAGGGGTTCAGTATCTTTGAGCATCCGTAATGTGATACAGTTCTAACCAATTCCTTCCCTCTCCTCCCACCTTCAGAAAATCTGCTGGTGGCATGGACTGAGGTGGGACTGCCCCTACAAGATGCGTCTCTGGCTGCCTGCAATTTCTGTCGCCGCCCTGTGCACTTTGAGCTCATGAGTGAGTGGGAACGTTCCTACTTTGGGAACATGGGGCCCCAATATGTCACCACCTATGCCTGAAAAAACAGCTGCCTGGGATCCCCATTCCACCTGCATTTCATTTGGGGCTGGGTCTCCTATCTGCTTCACTGTGTGCCTTTATCTAACTTGAACCTGGAAATAAAGCAAACTGCAACATTTGTATTTCCTTGTTGAACACAGGCAACTGCACTAGGCCTGACCTCCTCAGAGAAGTGACAGCACCATGAAGGAGCCATAGATCACTTGTTGGTCTGACCACTCCATTTTATTGACAGATAAAGTCCCAGAAAGAAGGACATGGTCAAAAACCACACAGTTAGCTACACAAAGAGCTGGGACACTTGGTAGATTTGTTTCAACAAAAATCCAGGGATTGACACTTTACTGGTAGATCTAGAATCCTGGGCCTCAAGTAGAGCCCCTGAAGCCAGGAGATAGTCTGCCTTAACCAAACTGCCTTGAGGAGAGGAATGGTTCCCCAAAACTAAGGAGGTACTTTTTATAAGGGGGAAGAGATATCCTCCCAAATCTATTATCTTCTTTCCCTCCTATAGCACCTTATAGAACAGGACTTACCAGCTTGGTTTTCCAAGATGAGAAAAAAGGCTTGGCTATGGTGAGAAACTTGTTCAAGGCAATGTTCCCAACTTTCTAGGTCAGAGTACACAGAAAATGTTTGCATGGCACACTCCCATAAACTAATCAGGACATTTGCAGAGGAAGCTATGTGGTCCCAGGTCTTGCCTGAGAACTCAAAGGGCTAGGGTATCCCATACCTTGCCACTCTGTAGCCTATTTGTTGCAGCTATGGAACACATAGGTTGGGAAGCTCTGGTTTAAGGCCACAATGCACCCACCTCCCTTGATTATCCAACTTTAGCCCTGTAAGGTAAGCACCACTCTTTCCTCTTCCCCTCTCTCTGACAGTTGCATCATTAGGCTATATGCAGTAGGCAAACCCAGTATCGATGCAGTAGTTTTTCCAACTCAACTTTATGGAACATATCTAAAATGTCCACGATATGATATGCTGAAACAGACCCAGACTTTATTGATAGACAAATGCATTTCCCAGCATTGTAGGAATGGGTTTAAAAGCACAGCTTCCTGAGGCAACTGTTTCCCATGTACTTCTGACAGGAAGATGGGAAGTGGGGTGAGAGACTGGGTCACAGCATCAAGGAATAAAAAATTCACCAGTGAGGAGAAGCAAAATGGGGAGAAGACATGGGAAGTGTGGCATTGGAGAAGGAAGATGAGAAAGGGAAAAGGGAGGGGACCTTAAGGGAGAAGGAGGAAGGAAAGGGAGGCCTTGGTGGAAGAGAAGGCAGACCGAGAGCTTAGAAGGGAGCTGGTCCCAGATGCTGTACAGGGCTGACCATGACAGACATCCCTAGGCCTGGATGGTTCGCCTGGGCCTGCTCCAGAGGAAGAAGTTACATCGGGAGGAGGGATCAGTGGGAGGACCTCGGGGTCTGGCACACATGTAGAAGCAGCGCCCCAGGTTGGGCCCTGGCTTTTTCACAGTCCGCATCACACATGGCTCCCTGTGGCCCCCACAGAGGGGCATGGGCAAGGGGCCCCCTAACAGGGACTTCCAGCACAAGGTTCTCACCTCCTTCTCACATTTAGCCTCTGAAGCCTTGGCCTGCACTTCTACCACTTTGGGTGCTGCCTCTTTTTTTGAGGTCACAAGAATATCCATCAGGCTAGGAAACTCCAAGGCTGGAGAGGCTTGGGGATGGCTAGAGGATGGCTGGAAGTAGCTCATCAGGTTCTTCTGGCCTCTGCTGGAGCCAACCTGGCTTGGCCGAAGCCTGGTTGAACGCACACCAGCTTTTTTGTTTTGGTTTGTCTGTACCTGGGTTTGACTGCTGAGTTGCAGTGCCGACTGCCTGAACACAGGATCTTGTTTATGGCAAACTAAGAAGTGAAGGATCTTGAGCTGAGTGCCTGCAAATTCTGGGAGGAAACGAGTACACAGGGGTGGGCACTGTTTTGAGGATACAGAGGACACGCTCAAGACTGCACCTACGGGGCAATGGTCAGAGCCCATCACCTCGGGCAGCAGGAAGGAGTCCTGGAATGTGTCTAAGACCAGAGCCCTGTCCCCCAGCACATAGTCAAGCCGAGAGCCATAGTTGCAATGGCGGGCACCACTGACCACTGACCAGCAGGTGAAGGCCCCCTCCTTCTTTGGTTGAAAGCAACGGTAGCTATCAATGAATGGCCCTACATGGGCCCCAGCCTGGCACCCCAGGTCACTGAGCAAGCCATCCATCCACTTGCGCCCTGGATCCTCTTCAAAGCACTCCTGGGGAGGAAAGAGGAGAAGAGAATGACAGATAGGCAGAACTCAGATGCCTAAAACTGGAAGGGACTTAGACCAAGTGTTTTATTTTCCACACAAGAAAATTTGGCTGTCCCAGAGAGGATTACTGCCAAAGATCACAGTGTAGCACTATAAGAAATGAAATTGTATTTCATACATGGGATTTTAAAAACCCATCCTTGTTTTTTCCCTCTGTACAAGGCTACATTTATCTTGCGTTACTCAATAAATGTCAAATCTGAGTTTGTCTGTTTGTTTAATCAAAGAAATTCCTACAACTATTTACCAAAAGAATGGAAAACAGGAAGTTAAAAGTGGTTGCCTCTTATGCTGAGTGAAATAAGTCAATCACAAAAAGACAAATATTGCACTAGTGCACTATTGTAAAAACCAAGGAAAGGTTTACACATGGGAGGAAACTTTCTTTGTTGGTACCAGGGATGGAACGGGAAGGGAGAGAAAATTGCTGGAGAGGTAAAAGAAACGTATTGATTTGGGTGAAAGGAAAGACAATATACTAAAAGAGAGTGACCAACACAATAACACTAAGGAAAAGGAAGACAAAGAGAGGTGCACAAGAGGTACAGACAACAAAGATAAACACTTTTACACACACAATGTTGCATTATCAGTAAAAACAATAATTAATTTACAGGTGGCTACATAGGTAGAGAGGCTAAATGATCACGTAGATCTAGGCCAAAGGGAATATATTCATCACCATATGTAAGTTTGGCAGACAATATTTATACATATGTATTTGTATGTCCTATAAGAATGTCCATACATATAAAAGAGCTAAGGGGGCAAAGTTGTAACTTCTTAGCCACAGCCAAACACCCTGTGTGAGTGAGTCACTCGGTCCAAGGGCCTGGGACCATGGTTGGAGGGGGCATCAAACTCAACTGCCATAACATATTACACAAAAACACTGTTCTACATCCTACTTTGGTGAGTCGCAACTAGGGTCTTAAAAGCTTGCAAGACAGAACAATTGGTCTCTCCTTGTCCGGAGCAAAGAATGAAGAAAATCAAAGACACATGGAAACAATTAGTCCAAGGGACTGGTGGACCATGCAAACCTCAGCCTACATGATCTTGAGACCAGAAGAACTAGATGGTGCCCAGCTACCAACTGTCAACCACTCAGAAAGGGATCAAAATAGGAGATCCTAGATAGAGTGGGAGAAAAATGTGGAACAAAACTTCAAAATTATAAAAAAAAAAAAAAAAAAAAAAAAAAGACCAGGCTTACTGGTCTGATAGAGACTGATGAAACCCCCAAGACTACAGCCCCTCATAAACCTTTGGGCCTGGAATTGAACTTACTCTTGTGGTTTCCAGCCAAACAACAGACAGGTGTATAAGGTGAATATTTACACCAGGTATATAGTATACTACTTCGAATAATCAACTGTGGGAGACCAGCAGGGTAGTATCTGCACAGGAAGATAGCTCAGAGAGCAGAAATGCATAGGAAAAACAGACACAGGGAAAGGGTAACCAGAGGTTAGGAAGTGGGAAGAGAACTGTCTGTTACATTATGGGGATTGCAGTCAATGTAATAAAACAAAATATGTATGAACTATTGCATGGAAAATAAATTTGCTCTGTACACATTCATCCAAATCACAATTAAAATAAAAAAACAACTCTAAAAAATGTGGTTGATTCTAGAGAGTAGGAGGGCTGGGGTTAGGAATTAGGAAGACTGTTGGCTTTTAATTTAAACCCTCTGGCACTGTTTAGTTTTGCTTTTGTGTGTGTGTGTGTGTGTGTGTGTGCTCAAAGAGCACCCCTAACCACAATGCCTCCTGTGAGCTGAGGGGCTCCAAGGATCCATGTCTGACTACTTCTTTTTGCTCTGATACACAATCCATCCTCCATTCAATCTACTCACTCACTCAATCAATGTAACAAATATTCATAGAACACCTATTATGTGCCAGATATGCCAGGGACAAAGCAGTGACCTGAGCTAGTCCTGAGGATTAAGGAGGCTTCCTTTCAGAAAGTGATCTGGAGCTGAGATCTGAAGGTCAAGCAGAAGTAACCTAGGAAGTGGGTGTCCCAATTGAGAGAACAGCCTCTTATGATAGGCCTGTGGAGGGAGGGTGCAGTGGAACCAAAATACTTGAACTGAGGTGAGACTGGGGGTCAGAATACCAGCTAGGAGACTAATGCAATAGTCCATCCAAGTAACAGGTGATGGTCACCTAGACTAGCATGGTGCCAGAGGAGACAAAGTCACTGAAATTAAGAGATAATTTGCAGCTGGAATCAATAGCACTTGCTTGCCAACTGAATATGGGAAGGAGGGTAAAGAAGGACAATACTAGCACAATTGCCAGGTTTCTATCTGGAGCAACTGAGGGGAAGATGGTGCATTTAGAGAAATAAGAAGAGTAGGTATGATGGGAAGTAGACATATTCTGCTATTTTGGAAAGACTGCATTTGTCATGTGACCAGTTACTATTAGTTCTCTTTTCCTTGGAAGAAGAATGTAGGTGGTACACTTGAGAAACCTAGGAAAGTTCTGAACTAAGAAGAGAAGGCATAAAGGTATATGATGCCATGAAAGGAAGCAGAAAAATCAGACTCAGGTAAATGCTTAATGAGGAATAAGGCAGGGAGGGCCTGAAGGCTTGTATTTTGTAGTGTATACTCTCCACCAGCCTCCACCTGCCCCATACCACCACACCATCCTCCGATTATTTCACTTTTTCTAGCTGGGAGCCACATCTGTGTTTATATGGTTCCTCTGTATATAATGAAAGTTTGCCACAGTCCATTCTTTATGCCAAGCTTAGTGCTGAGTTAGGTTATGCCAGAATAAGTTACTGATCTTTTCCTTCATGAGGCAAGCCAAGATGAGAACTGGCTTGGAGATTCTAGAACAGTAGCTCTTAAGCCTGACTGCAAAACAAAATCAGCCTGAGAGCTTTTAAAAAATATCACTACCCTGGCCTCATACTCAAGAGATTCTGATTTAATTGGTCTGGGGAGGCACCAAGGTATTGACATTTTTTGTAAAAGCAACTTGTTCTAAGGTGTAGTCAGGGTTTGAGAACTACTGGCTGAGAGGAACTTCTGAAGTGAGAGATTCCTCTAAGAAAAAAAGACATAGGAGTGAGGGGCAGCCTACCAATTCAGGGCACACAGTGAGCAAAGCTAGAATGAAAACAGCTTTTGCTACAGGCAGAGAGGAGACAACCTGGATGGAGTGGATGAAGTGTGTATGGGTAATGAGGCTAGAAATGAAGACTGAGCACAGCACAGAAACAGCCTTGAAGGCCAAGCCTAGATCTCTTCTGTGTATCACAGAATGACAAAGGGATACTAAAAGTTCACATGCAGGAAGTAGTGTTTTAGAGAAATGATCAAGGCAATGTGGGGTCAAGTACCTTGCAGTACCATCTCCTGCCACTCATCTGCCTTCCCATGTCACCCTCTAAAAAGAATGGAACTTGCATTTCTCCATGGACACCAGGCAAATTATCTTGGAACCTTTGCCCATGCTAAAATGCTTTGCTCCTCTCTCTATCCCACGCTCAGTTCCACTCATCTTTTAAGATTCAGCCATTTTCAGATACCTCCCCTGATGTCCAGGCTAGCTTAGGAATCCTATCTCTGGGATCTCCTAGTCTCCTGGACTTTCCACCTCTACCTTAGCCCTGAGAACACCATTCTATAATTTGTTGGTCATGTTTCTGTAGTCCACCACCACACTGAGAGTTCCAGGACTAAGAGCTAGATCCGAATCATAACTGAGTCCCCAGCACATAGCTTCAAGCCAGGCAAAAGACAGGATTTACTGTATGCACCACCAATCCTCAGTGCTTTCAGAATTCTGGAATAGTATTTCAAAGCTAGCTCTCTTTTTTCCATGAAGGAAGCTGCCACCAGCCCAATACCCAGCATTGGTTGGCTAGCTGAGCAGAACCAGAGTCAAGAGTGGGGCCAGAAGTCTGCAGAGAGCCTTACCAGATTGACTGCATCCCAGTGGTCAATGGGACGGTGGGCTGTGTTCAGGTCACCCAGGATGATGACATGGCTGAAAAACACAAAGTGTAGCTGTCAAATGGACATTCAAGAGAGGAAAGCAGTAGTCCTGACTTAATATATTTTCCTAGTCTCAACAGCTCAGATAGGCCACTTCCCACACTGGGGCTCCCTAGCCAACAGCAACTCATAACAGCCTACTTCTCCAAACTTACCATAACCTTGCTGCATTTCATACTTACCAATTCTGTTCTCCAAAGGTCACATTGTTCCAAGTTTGACCTAACTGCCTCACTGATCTATATCTAAATGGTATCTTTCTGGTCTTTCAGGCACCACTTCCTCTAGGAATCATCCTTTGAGTACTCCAGTCTACCTTCACCTTTCCTGTTGCTCCCTAGAACTCTTTCAGCCTTCCCTGACCAGGATTTTCAATTTGCCCTCAGGTACTTTACCTTCCTTATTTCACTTCATCCTTAAAATTATTTTTTAAGTAAGGCAGGCAAAGGAAGAAACAGAGTTTATAAGAGTTATAGACAACAAAGGGAAATATTATTACATACACAATCACACAGTATCAGTAATAAAAAACTATAATCTACAAGTGGATACATAGGTAGACAAATACCCACAACCTTATGTAGGTTTGGTAGAGGATATTTCTACATATGTATTTGTATGGGCTGTAAATATATCCATGAGTATAGTGGAGCAAGCAAGGGGCAAAGTTATGAAGAATGAAGAAAATCAAAGCCATCTGGAAACAATTAGTCCAAGGATAAGATGGACCATGAGAACCTCAGCATTCATGACCCAGAGATCAGAAGAAGTAGATGGTGCCCAAGTACCAATGCCAACCACTCAGAAAGGGATCAAAGCTGGAGATTCTGGACAGGGTGGGAGGCAAAATGTACAACAAAATTCAAAAACACAAAAATGATCAGAATTACTGGTCAGATAGAGTCTGGTGCAACCCCTGAAACTATGGCCCTGGGAAATGCACTCACTCCCATTGATTGGCCCCCAAGACTGTGGTCCTTAGTTACTCTTCAAGCCAATAGCCTAATGCAGAAAGACCTATGTGCAGAATACCTATTCCAGGGTGAAGCACACCTTACAGCAATCAGTCATGAGACACCATGGGGGCAGCATTCACAAAGAGGGAAAGCTGGACAGACAGGAGTGCATAGTTAAGAAGGGCACAGGGTGGGGGTAGTCACAGGGATGGGAGAGGAGGGGAGGAGAGGTTTTTATGGCTGGGGATGGTAACTGGGGTGTGAAAACAAATGTGCATGAACTACTGAATGTAAAACAAATTTGCTTTGTAAATTTGCACCCAAAGCACAAATTTAAAAAAAAAAAATTATGAAAACTTCTTAGTCATAACCAAACACCTCATGGTAATAATCACAGGCTTGTGGGCTTAGTACAACAGTCTCAAGGGGGAGCTAACTCAACTGGCATTACATAGTTTACAATGACAGTGTTCTATATCCTACTGTGTTGAGTAGTGACTGGGGCCTTAAAAGCTAGCAAATGGACACCTAAGGTGCAATCATTAGTTTCTCTCCATTCAAAGCAAAGAAGAGCGAAGAAAATCAAAGATGCATGGAATGGTCCAAAGGACTAATGGATCCCATGACCAGAAGAACTAGATGGTGCCCAGCTACCACTACTAGCCACTCTGAAAGGGATCACAACAGAAGGTCCTGGATAGAGTGGAAGAAAAATATTGAACAAAACTAAAAATCAGATAAAAGACCAGGCTTACTGGTCTGATAGGGACAAGTGGAACCCCTGAGACTGTGGTCCTTAGTCACTCTTCAAGCCTGGAACCAAACTCGCCCCAGTAGCTCAACTTTCAGCCAGGCAATAGACAAGCTTATAAGGTGAACAATAATACTAGAGGCATATACACTCCTTAGAACAAACAGCCATATGAGATCAAAAGAGTAGCTTTTGCCCAGGGTAAAGCTCAGAAGATAGGAAGGGATAAGAAAGAAGGACAAACTGTGGTCAATGTCATGAGACCAAGTATATGTGAACTGCTGTATGGAAAGTGAATTTGCTCTATAAATCTTCACCCAAATCACAATTAAAAAAAAAAAAAAAGAAGGACAAATGGAAATGGCAAACAGGCAGGAAGTAGGAAGAGTGATGTTACATTGTGGGGATTGCAATCAATGTCACAGATCAATATATATATATGAATTGTTGAATGGAAAATCAATTTGCTCTGTAAACTTTCACTCATCACAATAAAAAGTTAAAAAAAATTATTCTGTGAGGAAGGGATACATACACTCATTTGACAAAAGAGGAAATAAGAGGAAAGACTAGTCTTGGAACTCACAATGAGTAAAAAGGGAAGCCAGGAGAGTTACTCAAGAGGTATCTGACTACAAAATCTATGTTTGTTTCACTTTTTCTTGTCCTCACAACTCTTTAAGAAAGCAAGACTTATTAATGTGAGAACAGTGGTGTCTGCAACCCAGCTGTGAAGGAACTCAAAGTTAGTGATCCCATATCCCTTCCAATGGAGCTTGGCTCAGGGGCAGGCACCTAGGACAAGCTCCAAGAAGTCTTGCTGTCCAGGATTGCAGTACCTGCCGGCAGCCAGGAGGGCTTCTGCTCGGATCTGCAGCAAGCGATAGAAGCGCATCTTAAAGGCCAGCCGCCCAGGCTTCCCTGGGTCTGCGTGGGGGCAGTACACGTTGATTAGGGTCAAGGTCCTCTCCTGCCCTTCCCATGTGCTAGGGAAGAAAGAAATTTCCCTTCAAAAAAGGGGTCATTTTCACACCTCTCCCCACCATGTGGCTTTTAATTAATGGCTGTCTGTGGGAGGGAAGGGAAAGAAAGGGTTAGAGACATGAATGAGCTGGTATACCCAGTTCTTTGGGAATAACTACGAGTTAGGCAGGGAAAGAGGCATCTATGATGACACCCAGGTAAACCAGGTGATGGTGCAGCCATTCAAAAAGATAGGACACCCAGAAATAGGAGCAACTTGGGGCAAATGAGTTCAGCATGGGTTAAGCTGCCTTTGAGGTACATGTGATAATAAGAGACCCAGACTTCCAGGCCAGCACCTCTACTGTAGTGATGGAGAACTTGAGGCTCAGAATAAGATTTGCCTAATGTCACATAGTGAGTAGCCCAGCCAAGACTAGAAAGGAAAGGCAAGTCTAGAAACTTTCCCATGGTGAATGCATGTTTATAAGGTGAACTGTGGAGTCACTACACTTGCAGAGTAGAATGAGCAGTGCTCAGCTCTTTGCAGACGTAGGCTATTACCGGATCTTGTGCTGTGTGAGGAGGGCCCGGCCCTCACTATCCAGAGCCCGAAGCTCCTCTTGGGTGAATTCATCCATGTTTCCATAGCAACCCACATCCCCATTCTGAGTGGCAAGGAGGCCACTCATGCCTTCTTCAGCAGCCACTGGGGTAGCACTGTCCTTACAGAAGGTAGCTACACCTAGAGACAGAAAGGGTACTCTGAGCAGGACTTGCAGCCAACAGCCTGCTGCACAGCCTGTCCCCCTCTTATTGCCTGAACATACTTTAGTCATCTTCAAAAGTGTGGCTCTGTTGACTATTCTCCAAACTCACAGGTAACTCCCTATAGTCTGGGGCAACTCTATCCAAACTTTGGAACCTCAGTTCCTTCCTCTAAAAAAATCACAGAGTAATAAGTAACAGCTAATGTTCTAAATGTTTTACATGGATACATGGTAAGTGCTGAATAACCAAACCAAACACACTGCCGTCAAGTCGGACCCGACTCATAGTGATCCCTCCTTGGGTTTCTGAGGTGGTATCACTACAGAAGTAGATTGCCCAACCTTCCTTCC